AAAAAAAACAAAAGAGTGAGTGGGCGAGCACGTTTTGACACCCCCATCTTTGACGATTTTTAATGTTTTCTTGGCTTGGCAGAATGCCTTCAAAATTTATAGGCATGCAGGTTACATCATAGAGAGCTCACAAAAAAAAATTCAGAAAACAAAATTAATTTTTAGGCCCCAAATTGTTTTTTTGGCGGGGGCCGAACCTGGAGGTGTTCGGCCCCAAAAGGGGACCCCGAACGCCCGAACGTTCGGGGGCCAGCCCGGGGGCCCCAGAACGTTCGGGCAGGTAACCCTTCCTCTTCTCTCTCTCTGCCTACGGTTTACCGGGCAGTTCTATTTGTGACGATATATATACAGTTTGTCACAGCCCCTCGTTTGTTGTCCTCTTCTCTCTCTCTGCCTACGGTTTACCGGGCAGTTCTGTTTGTGACGATATATATATATATATACAGGGTTACCAGCCCGTACGTACGGAGGCCCCCGGGCGGACCTCTGTACGTTCGGGCGTTCGGGGTCCCGTACGGGGCCTGAACCCGACGGCGTTTGGCCCCCGCCAAAAATTATTTCGGGGCCTAAAAATAATTTGTTTTTTTCTAAATTTGTTTTTACGCCTTCTCTATGACGTGAGGTACATGCCTATAAATTTTCAAGTCATTTCTCTTAGCCAAATAAGAATTAAAAATAGCCAAAGATGGCGGTGTCAAAACGTGCTCGCCCACGTTTTTTTTCACTTTTTACTTTTTGTTTTCACTTTAATTCGGGGTCTAAACAATTTTATTGTTTTTTGAAACTTTTTTAGTGGGTTTTGTATTATGTGAAGTAAACATCTGTAAATTTTCAGGGCATTTAGCTATGCCAAAGAAAAATGAAAAATCGCCAAAGATGGCGGTGTCGAAAACATGCTCGCGCACTCACTAAAATTAATTCTCTTTTTATTTTTATATATTTTTATTATTAGTATTTGTTCTGTGTATTTTATTTTTATTTCAAATTTGGTAAGGAATTCGGACGTAATGCTCAGGCAAATCTTGTTTAATTTATTTTTCTCCATAACATATCTGTTTTTTCAGATTTTTTTGATGACTTTGTTTTTTTTTTTTTTTTTTTTTTTTTTGGGTCCGCGCTCGACTTGAACGGCCGAACGCATCCCCAAGGGGTCCCATACGTTCGGGCGTTCGGGTTCGGGCGTTCGGCCCGTCCTGAACGCCGGTAACCCTGTATATATACATATATATTAAAAACTCAGAAAAATTTGAAAAACATATATGTCATGTAAAACAACAATAAAAGCAACTTTCTCCTTGGAGTCGTGTTCAAATTCTTAGCCAAACATGAGTTAAAAATCAAAAGCCGTTTTTTTTTTTTCTTTTTACAAGGAAAAAGTTATGTGTGCCCTGAACACGTTCAATGTGCTACACAGGAGTGGAGATCATATCATCATACTAAGTTACTAACTAGTTAGTAGTTACAAAAAAAAAAAAACTATAAAACAGCAAGGTAAAAGTGCACTTTCATGAATTGTTTTCAGAAACCTCATCAGAGGAAATTTCAATGGCCCAAATGATACCAAATTTGCCACACAGCAACCTTAAACCACCAGTACCTCGCTCAGCTATGGGCCGCGGGCACTCCCGTATACGCGCCGCAGCCCTAGGGGGGTCGTTCAAGGGAAGGCCCGGTCGCTGCGCGAAGGCCGGGCTCCGCTTCCCTAGGCACGACACACTTGATAAAACAAAAAAAAAGAAAGAAGGGAAAGAAAAAAAACAAATACACAAACGAAAAAAACAAAACGAACGGACAGAAAGTTTAAGGCGCGCGCGCGCGCGCGAGAGAGAGAGAGAGAGAGAGAGAGAGAGAGAGAG